CAATTTTGATCATGTGACGCTGTTCTGACGCTGAAAATGAGCGTCGTAGCGTCAGATAAAAACCCAGCCTAACAAAAGCGAACACATGCAATTGGTTACAGAAATTGTTATAAAAATGAAGAATTAATTTTTCGAAATTAAAATTTAATTTGGCCGCCTTGTTAACGCGCCACTGTGCAGTGCACAATTTGCAGTCCTGCTTGTGGCAGCCCTGCTTTCGGTAACGCGCGAAACAATTGAAAGTCGCGGCGTTTGCGCGCCCAAACTCGGCCGCCATGACACTTTAGACAGTGCAACAGTTCGGTTTGGATGTGAACGCGCGTTAGTCTATGATTAATTGCGAATTTTGATACGTTTAACATGGGTTTAGAATGCGTATTTTGATCGCGAACGTCACTCGAGATGACAGAGGATCACTGGAGTGTTCAGTTATCGCGATCGACGTCGTTCATAATCTTTTTTCGTCGATCATAATTGACACTGCCGATGCGACGCGTCGTAAGTTCAAATTATCGGCGTTTCATCAACGGTTTCGGTAAGTATCGTAAGTATAGATTCTGATGCCGCAAGAATGACTCGATGTTTTTCCGAAAGAATCGAAAATTAGCAATCTTACTTCCGTTAAAATGGTATGTTCGTAATTTGGTTCGTCGTTTTAGGATTTACCGGCCACACTTTTTTAGAGGGAATCTCACTCGGAACAGTAAAGTCTTACTTTTACAATTAGGTCTATATCCAAAACTCCAGAAAATTTTACTCGATATAATATAGGTCTGTTTTTTATTGCTGCACTTTCTGAACTAATATCACACAGTGCAATAAGTTGAAGTGAAACAAATATACGTTTGTTTCACTTTAATTTATTGCACTGGTTCAGAGTGCAGCAATAAACAGACCTAATATAATATACATTACGTATACTACATATTTTGAGTAAAATTTTCCTCACAGAGGATATTTTCGAGTATGTAAGGGTGCGTTCCAAGTTATGCATGAAGCGTATAATTTATCGTTTTATCCTTTATTATTTCGTGAACAACAAGGATAAATGATGCATCATGCGCTTCATGCGTAATTCGGAACGCACTCTAAGCTTGATGCGTCGTCTATAATTAACCAATTAAAGTGAAAAGAGTAAATAATTATGATTGATCAATTTCTTATTTTATCTTTTACACCAAACTTACTTCGCATAGTAGACAACGCATAATATGCAGCCTTAACGATTGAAAATTGAATCACTTTTTTTCAAGACTAACTCAATTTTCACTCTTTAGACTGAGACATTTTCTACTCTAAAAGAATTTAGAGAGTACATGTGTTAATTCTTTTTGTGATCATGAAACTTAATTCTGATTATTAATTCAAATTTTATATTTCTAATAGCATAATAAATAAGAATTGTTAAAAAATTTTATTTGCTTAAATACCTACATTTAATGCATAAAAAAAATTATACTTCTTTTTTCTTCTTGGAACATTTTTTAAAAAGTGTACTTACACCTTTTTTTCTCTTATGATTCAGATATGACAACCTCATATATGTGTGTGCATTCTGCTTATAATTAATGGAAAATCCGTTATAATCTGTTGGGAGTGAGATGGGATAGGACATTAGCAGCCTTTCATGACCTTTAATAAGGATTCAAGGTAAGAAAAGTCTTTCTTTTTAGGAGATACCTACCTAATGTACATGTGTATACCTGTATTTATGTGTATCATTAATGCAAAATATTTTAAAGTTAATGAGATATGAGTTAATTGATTAATTAAGAAATATAATTTTTAAATTAAATTATAAAAATTAATATTTTTTTCTATATATTTACATTTGGTTTAATACTTCATTCTGCTCATTAATATATAGACAGAACAAAAAAATTGAAAAAAAATACTTATATAAATCTTTATATAAAATAAAATTGTAAAAATATTAATAAAAAACTAAGTTTTATCTGAAGCAATCGAATCAATGAACATTAATTAGCTAATGTTTATTAGTTAATTTAGAATTAAATTAAATAGAAGATAGAAATAATGAAAATAATATAATTTCTATCAATTTCATGTAATAAAATATATTCTATTTCTTATTGACGGTTATTAAAGTTTTCTTATTTCTATTTTGATTTAACAACTTAATAATTTAATATTATGTATACTATATAATTAAAAAATGTACATATCTATAATTTATGTACATTGTTTTTTTATATGTATAATAGAAGCGAAAGGAAGGAGATATGACTCGAAAAGACTCCTTTTCATATTTTATTTAGAAAGACAATAATAAAGTGTACAAATAATATAAAATTTGGAAATAAAACGTTTTTGGTGCAAACTATATCGAAGGACAATCGATTGTACATTGAATACGTCACGAATTACTATTGACAATACTTAAAAAAGTTTATGTACCTAAGAAATATTTACCAACAAGCTTGCTGACAACCTAAATATACATATGATGGTCTCACGATCAATCTCTACATAAATGTAATAAATTATGTTAATATTAACGGTATATCTTCGAGTTATAGACATTGACTTAGATCTGATTTATGCTCGGTGTAATTCAAGGATCAGAAACATAAATCCTATGGAGCAGAGAAAAAAATGATATGTAAATATCAGAGATATTTATATGTATGCAAAAGTATTATAAATACTTGTTGAAAAACTTTGGTAAACGTTACATTCACATGTGTGCATTTGATGATATTACACATTACGTCTTAAATTAATCGTGTTGTAAGTACAGAAGTCAAGTGTAGAATTTAAAAATATATTGCAATGCTGCGCTCTAAACGCAATAATATTGAAACTGTTAATAAAAAATAAATTAATTTAAAAAGAAATAAACAAGCACATCAAGAAATTTAATATAATTAAAGATATAAGCTTCATTTTTTAGTCTTTTCTTAATAATTAATTTCTAGTTTCTTTAAATTTTTGAGAATTTTTATGAAAATCTCAACGATTCTCCAAAGATAATTCCTCAAATTTAAAACAATCGATTATTCTGAAGGCGCGATTAATGTATGACTCAAAGTAAGTTCTTCTTTAGTGACTCGCAAGATACACGGAGCATAAATCTTCGACAGTGAGCCAAGCGACTCGTCTGAAAACTCCTTAATCGCTGTGCCTCTTACATCTAACATACACACTCAATATGTATCAGCTAAAATGTAAATGCAACTTGATCGCGGATACGAACTTCATTTAGGTTTATTTAGGGCAGTGTTAGGTATTTACTTCCCTAAATGATACAGCCCGCATTCGCAGCGCACTTACATTATTTCGATATTTGCAGTGTCGAACGTAACTATTTCGATTTCAACCGCTTTTTGAACCGAAGGTTCATATAAATACGCCTGCTATTTTATATTAGATTATTATAGAAACAAGAAAAGTAATTTGAGATCAGAATTTAAAACGATGTTAAATCCAGAAGAATGAAAATTAGGTTTGATTCACAAAAGAATGTAATATAAAGATACAAGTTTTTTTTTTTATATAGAGAAATCTATAAAAACACATCTGAAATATAAATTATGGTCTACGCTCTATGCTTATTTATTACAATTTTTTTAAAGAAATTTAATTGGAACAATGTGTATATCACTCCTTTACTTCAAAAATAATACGACCGCGATTTTCGAGTTATTGAATGAATAAAATAAATATTATCCTATCAATCATCAAAACTGATCTAACGTCATTAAAAAATTGTTAAAATAAATAAATTAAATTAAATATATTTAATACTAATATGTATAATGTATATTAAATATATATATTTAATATTAATACTTATTTAATGAAATAATACTTATTAAATGAAATAAAGTAAATTAAATTGTTAAACTAATTTTATTTAAAAAATAGTTCAGATCACATCACAACTTGAAATGGATAGTTAAAAAAAATCGTCAAAATTGTTACAATTTAAAAAGGGTGATTTTTAATTATTAAAATGATAATATGACTTTTAATCATGCTATTAAAAATATTTTTTGTCGATATTATTTGATCAATGATTTTCTGTCAAGTTGGAAAATAGTTCTTCCTCTTTTCTAGAAAATTTAATTGTTTGAGTTATGAAACTCACTTTTGAAGTAAGAGAGCGATATGTATATCTTGAAAAATGTGTGAATTTTCCAATATAAGTTACAAAAACGAAAAAATTAAAGGTGAATATTAAAAAACAGAAAAATGATTAAATTTTAGATTTTTTTCTATTTCCTGAAAATTTTTATTTTAAAATTATTACGATTTCATATTCAGGTCTTCAATTTTTGCGATGATACGCTTTTGAGGGATTTAGTTACAAAAATTGTTCGCCTGCATCTTCTGGCTTTTGAATAATTCAAGAGTAGGCTGAGTAGACATCATCTAATATATAATACTTGTTGAGAAGAAAAGATAAAACTAGGCAGCCGCTTTTAGCATTTAAAGTGCGCTATAAACACGGGCTTGAGCGAGACTTGCATACGTTGTCTGCATTCGCGTCGCTCGTTTGGCGATCCACAAGTATTTTTGGACGTTTATCGTGATGAGGGGAAACGTTTAACGAACCGCGGTAGAGCTTTTTTGAAAGACTTCGAACGCTCGAAACTTTCGCAAGCGACTGATAAAAGGGGAAATACCCGGTGCGAATACGCATTACGATGAAACACTGACGAGTATTTAGACGATCAGTCTTCTTTTTATCTTTAAGAAAGATCGAGAGAAGAGAGAACTCAGACGCGACTGAAGCGGATGGCTAGGTGGCTCGTTGCGAAAGTACAATAATTATACCTTTGGAATCGGAGACAGTTTCGTGATCTCGGGAACGCGAAAGATGAAACGTGACGCTGTTCGCGATGGTTCGCACACGCTATGACTTCACGATATGTATATCGATATGAATTATTACTCAAACGTGGGATTTTCTTATATATATATATATATATATATATTTATATATAATATATATATATTATTATATATGTCGCGCGAAGAAACGCAGCACGCGCGTATCTGCATTCTATTTACATAACGATTCGATTTTCGCGTTGCGAAAGGATGGTCGAAGGTGCGAGTATTCAGTATTGCATGAACTCCTCCAAGTACTCCATATAATCGGTCTCCGACATCTCGACGTCGTCATCTAGCCGATTGTCGGCATTCCGTCGTCTCCTCACCAGCTCGCTCGTCACCTCGATGCAGAGCAGCGCGAATTTATTGTCGCACGAGTATCGTACTTGTTCTAACAATCGACCGCCGGTCAACGGCGAGCCTAGTCCATAACGATCCGAGCTGCTCGAGTGCCAGGCATCGCAGTAAGTGTCCATGGCTCGATCACCGAGTTTGTGAGAACCGTGCCATGCAACTTTCTCGGGCCTGTAATTAGAACAACGTTAATTTTATGATATGAAGGAAATAGCGAGGAAATATATCGTTATATATACAGTGACTGCCAAAATTTTCGACCAATACGTAATTTTACATATAATTTTTGTTAATCTGATTTTCAATTTATTTTATTAGTTAATAAAATTCTTTTAAACAGAATATCTATATTATAAGTATTTATGTACTCTGAATCTTTATTTATAAAGATTCTTTGTATGACCAATATAATAAAATCACTCATTGATCGAAAACTTTTGGTCATTATACATAACATACATACATTTTTAAATTAAATAGTGATTAATAATAAGTAATATTGTTCGCGAATTTTAGTTTAGTTATTTCAAAATTAATAGAATATCAGTATATAGTTTACGTTACAATTTATATATTTGAGGGTGGTTATATTGATTTTCTTTTATGCAGTAAAATCAATATATTTTCTTTTATATTTTATATGTGTATACTTTTTCTATACTAACCACGCAAAGTCAGTGAGGATGTTCTTTCCATTGAAGCTGTAGATTCTGGGATTCTGAGAGAAGTACGCCCCATTTCCATTGAACATCTCTTTCCAAGAGTTGAATAGCACGTCGCCCTACATTTCGCCGGATTATTAATTAAAAATATTCAATTTTTAACAATGATTATCATGGTAATAAATGGATATTATTCCTAATTACCTTTATGTTAACTATGGGAAGATCTCGATCTCCTAATCTGACAATGCTATCGACATTTTGAACTCGAGAGCTGAGAAAAGCGCGGAAGGTACCTCTCAAGCCTGCTCGCCTTGCTTGTCGATAACAAGCGTAGTCTGCTCCTCGTATACCGTGCATGTCTCCGGTGAACGGCTCATTCAATGCAGCCATCCTCAACTAAAAAAACATAATTCGCATTGAATAAATATTTCCAATCGTAATAATAGTGCGCATATTTTTACATTTTTAATTAAAGATAAATTTACGAAAATTTTAATTAAAACGTTATATTTTTTATTTGTGCACACCAATTTAAAAAAATGTAAAATGTATCGCAAACAAATGAATTGAAAAAGTCGTAATTAAATATGGTACAATCTCACCATCCGCGGATACCACTGCATAGCATGGAAAAAAATTGCAAATTCGATATTAATACGTTTAATTTTTACAAACGTGTGTCCCGTGAAATGAGTTTAAGTCGTCAACTTACCCCTGTTCCGTCGGCTTTCACGGGTATCTGGTTAATTAAGTTGGATGCTTCAAAAGGAGGGTTTGCTGGCGGTGGTGATGTCGTTGGTGGTGCTGGCGTTGTAATAGGCAAAAGTGATCCGAGCTAAAGATTAAAAAAAATTTGGTTAATACAATTATAGTATTCTATGAACTTATAATAGCGATGTAGTTCTTTAATACTGACTGCAATGTATTGCCATCCATTATTAACTCTGACTAGTAAAGCTTGTTCGTCTATAATGTAAGCCAAGGTCCCAACTGGACTAACACTAGACATCTGTAAATGTAAAAACAAGAGTATTAAAATTAGATTTATACGCACATGAAAAAGCAGTTATAGAGAATTTTACTTTTGTCATGGCTTCTGTGTTTTGGAACGTAACAGCTCCTGGCACAATTTTCGTTGTACTTTCTAAAGGTCCCCTTGTAGCGGCAGTAACAACACCTTGAAAACAATTTTTCAAGTTTCAAAATGTAAGAATACTGATGTTAATATGCAGTTAATAAAAGATATTTTATAAAACATTCGAAGGAACAGTGAAAATTCTGGCGCATATTCGTTTTAATATACTAGATAATAAATTTTACCTAATTGCTCTTTCAGTTCTTTTAGTTGCTTGAGTTCACGTAGAGCTTTCAATTCGTCTAGACTACTTCTGGCTCCTTGCGGGTATGCGAGTGTAAAATTTAATTTTGTTATTTAATAGTTATAAAGAGCATGCTCGATAAAACGGGGATTCGTTAAAGCACTTTGAATAGTTTAATAAAAAATTATTATTAATTAAACTAATTGACTAATTGTTAATTTATACAATGGTATTAATTGTTCAATTAATATATGATTGAATAAAATAAAATTAAATTAAAATTAAATGTGTAATTTATTCTTAATATAATAATTTATAATTCATATTTTAAATTAAAATAAATTAAATTAATAATGTTTATGGCTTCAACAATAAATCCCGTGTAAATAAAATGTCTGTGTGAATTTCTACGGTTGTTAGTGCGTAAATTAGATATATTTATAAGGCGATAAGATACAGTTCACAAACATTGTAATGTACTTATCAAATGAAGTTAACTTGCAGTCTACAAAGTTTGTACTCGACCTCACCAATTATCGTACTGCACAAATTCAGAGTCGAAACGTCTGCAGTTAACTTCATTTGATAAGTACATTCCAACTGTTCGCGAATTATCTTATCATCTTATGAATAATTTATGCACTAACAACAGCGAAGGTTCACATAATCATATTTTTAATTTTGTTATCGAAGTGCTCTGTCACTCAAGTACCATCAAACTGTAATAACTCGACTTCGTAATATCTTAATGTCTTTACCTTGCCTAGAGGGATAGTAATCTCTTTCTCCGAAAACGTGACTTCTACCGATCCCGGGTTCTCCTTTCTGTCCGATTAAAGACAAACCGGGCGGACCAGGAGGTCCGGGAGGACCTGGAGGCCCTGGAACTGGATAATAGTTTCCTTTAGATGGTATTCCAGGAGGTCCGGGAGGTCCTGGAGATCCTTTTTGACCCTCTCTTCCCGGCTGTCCAGGAATTCCGGGAAAACCGTCGTCTCCTTTGTCGCCTTTGATCTAAAAATATATTTAAAAAACTGTATTTAATGTATAAATAGATCGTCATAATATTTTCGAAGAAGCTCGTCAATATAATACCAAAACTGTGGTTATCAATTCCTTTTTTTCGCTGCATCGCATCGCTTCGGTAGACAGGTAGATAGATATGTAGGGAGTCAATAAGTAGTCAAGTATTGCCAAGAACATAGAAGCAGTTGATTTATCGGAAACGTTGAGGAATGAGATGCAATGATCGCTTAGGCGCATCACGTCGGCTTTCTGTCGACATCTCTTCGTTGCGTTCTTTTTCACGAATGTACAGCGAAGACGGTTTACGTGCTAGGCGCGAGAGGCATCCTTTCGATCGTGGGAAGGCGATATCGGAATTTCCTGTTGCTCTTAACTGTAATCGCTCTTTCTTGAGGAATAATCTATCCTTGTCGTTATCAATGTTGTATCATGCCCTTAGAAAAGTGATGGATATCTTGAGCGATTTTTATCTATGTACTTTGTATTTTTATGGAATTTCCGTCGAAGAGATTTCTTTTTATTGCATTCACTAGATCTCTACGATCTCTTGGTTGATAACCGTAAGAAATTCTGATAGGATGTCCCAAAGGTATCAAAAAAGATTTTAGAAATTGTTCAACGATTTTCTTGTCGAATTTTTTCAGGTCTCAACAGAAATCCAATCAATCAACAGGAGGACAATCAAAATAAAATTAAAATTAATTAGAAAACAAAGTTACGTT